CAGGAGGCCTTTGGACTGCAATCTGCGTGTTTTTGACCCTCAGCCTGAGGTCTCTCATAGTCTAGACAGGGTTTGTCCACCTGTCCCTTCCTCAAAAGAAAGAAGCGTCTGAAGAGAGCTTCCTTCAAGTCGGTGGGAGCTGTGTGCTGGGCCCTGCTCTAGAGACAGTAATCTTCTTCTCAGTCTAATCTGGAGGGACACCTACTTTTTTTTATCTTTTTAAGATTTATTTATTGATGAGAGGGAGGGAGGGAGAGGGAGAGATTTGTTGTTCCACTCATTCATGTATTCACCGTCGGTTGCTTCTTGTATGTGCCCTGACTGGAGATCAAACCAGCAAACGTGATGTATCAGGCCGATGCTTCAACTGAGCACCCAGCCAGGGCCTGAGGGAGGCTTACTTTTAGTGTGGTTGTGAGGGTTAAATAAGTGTATAAACTGTTTCATATAATGCTTGACACAGAGTACTTTTTCAACTAATGTTGGCTGTTAAAATATTCCAAGGACAACCTAACCATCCCTTGTCTCAATGTCCCCTCTTTGTGAGGACCTACGTGTTCTCTGCTCATTCTGGCCCCCAAAACTTCTTCTCCAGGACTTCGTTGCTGCATTACGCTGCGGCCTGAGCTTGGCTTCTCAGCGAGGGCAGTAGTGCAGCCTCTCTGGGCACGTGACCCTGTGAGCTGGGGTGTTCAAAGTGAAAAAAAAAAGACTTTCAGTCCTGGCCCCTCAACTCAGCTTCTTCTCATCCACCCTTTTTTTTTCTTTTTTTCTTTCTTTTTTTTTTTTTTTTAAAGCGACCCTCACTTATTAACAAACCCAGCAGCCAGACCCAGGAGAACAATTAGATAGTTAGCACCAGCTCCAACCCACCTGCCCAGAGTCCCTCAAACACATTTTAATTACAATCCCTTAATCTTCAGGTGGTGAGGCGGACTCTCCTGCTTTTGTCCCAACAGTCCTTTCCTCCCTCTCTTCCCCCAATTAAGTGGTCCCCTCAGCTCCCCCCAGCCTGGGAGGAGTGAGATCACACACAGATGGCAACCAGTCCACCTGAAGTTCCCATAGGTGTAGCTGAACACCCTCTGACTACGTGTCTCTTGCCTGGGCACAAACCGAGAAGCTTAGAACCATTTGTCTCTCCCTTGGTCTCTCTTGTCCTGGTTTGCCTGTGTTCTCTGGAAAGGATCTTCCCATGGCTCTTTAATAGTGACTTCTATTTTTCTGTCAACCCACCCAGGCCACCCTGTCCAGACCAGCTGTTTTCCCTGGCAGTTCTGTCCAGGAGCCACCAGGTTCTGTTACAGAGGCTGCCCCGTGGTGACCGCCCACGGACCTCAGCGGAGCGCAGCCTTGCCCTCGGCGCTTCATGCCCGGCCAGGCCTCTGACACTCAGCCATAGGGGCTGGCAGAATATTGGGCAGGCCTCTCTATCCCTTCAAGCTTCAAGCAGGGCAGAGGTAGGGGGAGGGAAAAGATGACCCAGCGTGTGGCCCTGTCTGAAGCTGAGCCTGGAAGAAGCTCTTTCCTGGGAAAGTTCTTTCACTAATTGACTTGCAAATGCCTCTTCGTTTGTCCCCAGATTCATAATTAGTGCTTAGGATTTCTAGGGCCCCATCCCAGAGGAGCTTTTATGGGGGCCGCCCGTTCCTCTCCCCTCTCCGAGGTCAGCTGGGTTGGGGGTGGGCAGAGCTGGGCACCAGTGCCCAGCTGCCGTCCAGCGTTCCCACGGCTCTGGTGCCAGCGTGTAAAAGGCGAGGTGTGGGGGGTGTGGGGGCCAGAGCTCCCCGCCATCCTTCAGCCGGGACCAGGGCCAAAGCCCTGAGGCTCCAGGAAATGACAGAGCTGAGGAAGGGCAGTGGCAGCGGCGGGGGGCGGGGGCGGCGCTGGCCGGCACCCCCAGGAAGGAGAGCCCGGCCTGTGCTGGGGGCCTGGCATGGCCGAGCCTCCAGCGCAATGAATGCGCCAACAAGGGGCCTCTCTTCCCCACGGTTTCCCCACAAAGGCCTTGGCTGCACCATTAGATGTGGTGGGCTGGGGCCACTGCAGGAAGAGAGGCCGTTCTCAAAGACACCCCCACTCCAGGCTCTGCACTCCCAGAACGGGGCCTGGGCTGGGGCCCAGTGTCTTGGGTTCAGGCCCAGTATGAACTTGGGTCTCCTGAGCAAGGAGCGTCACCCTCCCGATCTCTCTGGGCCTCAGTTTTCCCCACTGTTTTTTCCCTGGCACCCTTCCCAGCCCTGGAGTCCCCCTCCCAGCCCTGATGTCCCTCTCCAGGTTTCTACCCACCCAGCTGCCACCAGCAGCCCCATGCCACCCTCCACTGTAGTTCTCAGTCCTCTGCAGGCCCTATCTGGACCCGAGGCACAAAGAGACCTGTCCTCAGGGTGGATCCGTGCCGCTCACCCAGGCGCTGCCCGCCAGCCCCTGACACCCTTGCCTCCCTTCAGGTCCGGTCTGCAGGCCAGGGAGAAGGAGGAAGGTTCTAAGCTGTGGCTGCCTGCCATGGAGTCCGACGGGGCTTGCCATTTGCAAACTATGTGACCTGCATGTGTCTGTCAGCCTGCTTGGGCCGCATCTGTGAAAAGCCTCACAGGTCATCTCCAGGGTCCAGTGAGCCCGCAAGCAGAAGGCACTATATGGGACCAGGCCTGGAGTGGATGCTTAGTCAAAGTTCTTTTTATTCCTACCTCCCTCTCAAAGCTGCCAGTCAGTCTGCCTGTTTCCCTGTGACTGAGATATTCTTTCATGGTCTACCCCCTTCTTTTTTTGCTTGGGTCTCCCAGAAGCCCCTCTAGAGTCCCAATTTCATCTCTAAAACTGGCCATTTTCCTTTGGTAAGTCCTTCCGGAAGTCTAACCACTGCCAGTTGCCCCTCCCCAGGCCTGGCCTCTTCCCACGTAGCCCTGCCTCTGGGGCCCCGGGGAATGGGGTGGAGGTGGGCTCTATGGTAACTCTGAGAAGGGAATGCCCTCTCTCCTCATCTGCATACAGACAGTCTCATTTACCCACAGGCAGTTTCATCTGCATAGGCTCAGTAGGATTGGAGAGCACATTCTGAGGTGTCCCTCCGGGACCCTCCTATCCCAGTCCTGGCATTCCTGTCGAGAGACGGGTCCCTCCAAACCCCACTGCCCCAGTCTGGGTCTGGGTCTTTCTGTTTCCAAAGGCAGCCCAGCCTCTGTCCCTCCTCTTCCACCTGCTGTCGCAGGTGCCCTGCTTTTCTTCCCTGCACTCCGATCTTCCAGCGCCGCATGCCTGCTCTGACTCCCCACGTCAGAAGGAGGCCACTGGGGGAGGCAGACAGCTGGCCCCAGGCGCCGCTGCCAGGCTGATGCTTGGGCTCTGGGGTCCGAGCAAAAGCCGGGGATGGGAGAGGGTGGTCCCGGGCAACTTTCCTCGTGCTGAACCCAGACCACACCCTGTCTCCATTCACCCCTCCTCCCCAGGGGCCAAGGTGCAGGGGTAAGGAGGGCCCTGCAGTGGGTCCTCACCAGGCTGGGCAGCAGGAAGGCCCTGAGAGGAGGGCTGGGAACACCAGAGACGTTCCCCTGGGCCTGGGCGCCGAGGACTCAGCCCCTGAAGTGTGCCAAATTGATACAAATGGAACTGCCTCTTCCTGCCTGCTTCCTAGGCCTCCATCAGCCCTCCTAGATACCGTCCTTGTGGGGGACCTTGGAACTCCTTGACATGTAGGTTGAGGGAGCCAGGGAGTCCTCTTCTGACAGGTCTCCGCTCAGCTGAGTACCCTGGATGCAGCCCTCCCCGGCCCTGACCTCATTTCCCCTGTAAAAGGAGGAGCAGGGCCAGACCGCCTAGGGGGCTCTTAATGTGAGCCTCCTGCCCAGTAACAGGGCCCAGCATTCTGTATGCAGTCTCAGCGGATGCAAGGATCCCCTGAGGTTTACCTTGACCCCAGACTAGGAGTTCTGGTCTAGGGGCTAAAAAGCTGTGATCAGTGTTTAAATGGGAGTGTTGACAGGTGTTCGAATGCATGTGGAGTATCTCTGGGGAGATACAGGTGCCCGTGGTTGCCCCTTGGGACAGGAGGTGAGTGGCTGGAGACAGAGATGGGAAGGAGACATACTTTCCCTTTTGTGCTGTTAGAATTGTTCCGTGTGTATCTTTATAATCTTTTTTATTTAGAAAAATCCAAGGATTCAGACTATAGTTCCGTGGAGAGATTGTGGTTAGATGAGAGGAAGGACTTTTTAGAGGATGGTGGAGAACTTAAAATGTGCTGGCAATCTGGACGCTGCTCACACTTTCCAGCTCGAGAGTGAGGGGGCCTATCTTTTGGAGGACTGCGTCAGAGACAGACATGTTATGGGGGGAATGGGGCCGAGAGCATAGTCCCAGGTCCTTCTTGCTGTGGTTCCCCTGCCCCTCAGCTTCCCTCCCAAGATCTTACTGGGAAGTCATACCTGCTCTCTAAGCTGAATTCCTCTTGCTAGCCATATTCACTCCCTTTTGTTGCTCCTGGGGGAGGAAGCAGGAGCGGGTGGTCTTGTGGCACAGGGGCACTCTCTCTCTCTGGTCTGTTCATCCTGGGTTTGAATTTCTGAGGAAGGGGTCCCTTTGAGGAGGAGACAGAGGCCCACCCACCCAGTGACCTCCCACACAGGCACTCTGGGGAAGCAACCCACCTCTCCCATTCTCTTACTTCTTGGGATGATACTGAGGAGCCTTCTCAGCTGGGAGCATCAGCCTATTGCTTTGAGCTGGGACTGACAAGTCATGGGTGGCATTCCCAGGAGCCTTCGGGTGGCTGAGCTGGAAGGAGCCCTGCCCCCACTGTGGGAGCTCTGTCTTAATGAGGCTTCCCCCTTTTGTGGCAATGGTGACTTCTAGCATTGGTTTCTTGGTGGCGGGGGCGGGAGGCAGGTAAGATTGCCCTCCTCTCATTCAGTCCCTCCCTTCCCAGCCCTGTGCAGGCACATCCACTACCACTAGTACTGTTGTTCAGTAGTCGAGAGTCTTTATTAGACAGGACATGGGACTTCCATCTCAGAGGAATCTCAGCTCAGACAACACAGGAAAAACCAGGATGGGATGGGACTGGAGCAATGATGAAGCCAATTCTTATCCCAGGCGGCCCCAGATGTAGTCAGCTGTCCAGGCTGGAGGCTGGGGCCTCCCCTCTTTCATCCTGCTCACCGGCTTCTTGGAGGAGGCAGTCAACTTGTTAAAGTTTAGCCTCATCTTTCAGTCAATCCAGGGAGGCTTCTTGGAGGGAATCAGGCTAACTGGTTTTTTGTTTTTGTTTTTGTTTTTTGGCTGAAAAGAGAAAAAAGGTTCTTTTTGGATGGAGACCTTAACAGGAGACAGAGGACAAACTCCCAGGGAGAATGCCCAGTGGCCCTGGAAGGGCTTCCCTTCCATCAGGAAAGAGAAGAGGTTGGGAGGCTCCCTCAACCGAGGGGCTGCCACGACAGTGGCGGACTCCACGTGCCTCTTCTGGGTGCTCTCCCCGGGGCCATAGGGCACAGGGAGTGCCCAGGGTGGGGATTCAGACGGCAAGCAGGTGAGAGAACAGGTGGAGGCCTGAGGGACTTGCTCCAGGAAGGCAGAAGGCATGCTTCCCTTGGCCAGGGACCAGCCTGGGAGGGCTGGGGTGACTTGCATGGCCCCTGTGGCCTCTCTCTCCGTCCCGTCTTCAGTCTGCAAGGCGTGCTTTTAGCGTCCCTCAGACTTCACCCCTGCGCCTAAGAAGCATGGCCTCCTTCCCCCCTCCCCCGCCACCCCGCGCCAAGAACTTATCCAGAAGATCCCCTGCCTATCTGCTCCCTCCCATTGTGTTTGGAGCATGTTCTGCTAGAAGTCAGCACAGCAGGGGAGGGAAAGAGCATATGCTTTGGGAGCCACAAAGCCCCATTTGAAGCCCAGCCCAACTTACTAGTCCTGTGACACTGGCCAACATGTCTTCCTTGGGGCTCTGATTCCACTTTTGTAAAGTAGGGACAATATCTCCCAGTTTTCAAGACTTTTGGAAGATCAACCAAGATAACAGCTAAGAATGGCCTTACACAAGCAAGTGGGTGTCTCATCAACGTCAGCCCCTTCCTTTGTGGGGTGCAGAGGTGCTGTGCCTAGGACAGAAGTATAAGATCAGTAGAGGCTGCACAGAAGTTGGGCCAGAATCAATGCTGTGGGCAAATAATTCCTTTCCTGCTCCACCTGGGGTTGGGAGCCAGCAGCTCTGGAAGCCCCCACAGTTCACCTGAGCTGACTTCTCTAAGAGCTTTAAAATTTGAGAAGAGATTTCAGAAGAGGGGTGTTCTGAGCCCCTACACTGTCCACCTCTGCTCAGATCTGCCACCTTCCCCCTACCCAGACTCTGACTTTCTAAACTTACTTCCCTCCTCCCTGCCTCACCTCCTCCTTCCTCTACTCCATCCCCCTCGCCCCTAACTCTGTCTTTGTTAGATCCTGAACCTTGACTTTGGCCATACTATGGAGGGATGGGGATGGGAGGTCTGCCTCACTCATCATACTGGAAACTCCCCATAGGTAAGGCTTTGGTCTCCCTCAAACCTGGGCTTCTTCGAGCCTGTGCCCCTGACTCCTGGCCCTCTTCTGGGCCTGGACTGCTCCCAGAGGCCCTGAGCCAAGCCAGTTACCCCTCAGCGTCCCAACTAGGTCTGTCTGCCTCTCCCTCCACAGCTCCCTTCCCCACTCTTTGCTCCAGATCCTCAGCCTGGATTGAGGGGAACAGCAGAAGAGACTGGTGTCTGTCAGGGCTTGAGAAAGGGCAATGGACGAAGGTCTATGCAGGGCCCTCCCCTGGGCGGGGGAGGAGGAGTCCAGATGGAGCCATCTCCACCTGTTCCACCCACCCAGCCCCAGACAGGGACAGCGTCTCCTAGCAACGGTACAGTAGCAGGGGTCTGGGAAGAAGGTGGGGGCTGAGAAAGTGGGGTGGGGAACAATGATGTCATAAATTATCCCCAGCCCTCTCCTCCTCACTTGAGAATGGCCTTTTTTTCTCCACCTGCTCCTCATTCCAGATTCCCTTAGCAAAGCCGGCCCTGCTTAGTGTCCCGTGTAGATGCCCCTCTAGGTCAAGGTGACCATTCTCTCTACCTTCTGCTTGAGTCCAGAGGGAGGACAAATTTTCACCATTCCAGGATTTCTCAGAGACGCTGTTGGAGCCTCACACTAGTGAGAGGGGAGAGTGCGCCTTCCGAAGGCTCCCCACGCCCCTAAACCCTGGGCGGCTGCCACTTTCCAAGGGCCTCTGGCGTTCGCCTCTTTCTTTGGGTGAGAGTGAGAGCAAGAGAGGGGCATTTCCAAGCATTTGGTGACACTGGCTCCCCCTCTCTCAACAAAAGGTTTTAGACCTGGGGCTCCCAAGTCTTTAAGGGGCACTTGGACCTCTCACCAAGCTAGCCAAGTCTCAGTTTCCCAATCTCAACACCTGGTGTTCAGGAAGCCCAAACTAGTGACCAAAGCTGGGTGGCAGTTTCTTCTTTCCTTCTCAAATTAGTCATGTCAAGCCAAGGGTCAAAGAACTGATGCTTCAGCAGTACAGGTCTTGGTTAGACATTGGGGAGGACTTCCCAAGATGGGCATAAACAAGATCATGGAGTTTCCTGGTTGGAAAGAGGAAAAGTCTGTCATAGAAACTGGAAATTATGTGGGAACCTCTTAAATTTTATCTCATTATTATTTTCTTAGCCATATTAAATAACATATAGGGAGTACTTTTTTAAAAGGTTTTATTTTTAGAGAGCAGGGAAGGGAGAGAGAGGGGAAGAGAATCTCTCACACGCCCCCAACTAGGAATCCAGCCCCCAACCCAGCCCTGTGCCCAGATCAGGGATCAAACGGGCAACCGTTCAGTTCACAGGCTGGCACTCGCTCCTCTGAGCCACGCCAGCCAGGGCAGGAGTATTTAGCACAGAACCTGACACAGAGTAAGTCTCCATTTGGGCTGTTTTAAAAAATAATATATTAATATGGATTTTTATTGGATCGATATCAGGAGGAAGAGATAAATCCTTGGAGACCGATCTCCCATCCTCCAGGAACCCATGGGAAAACCCAGATACGATGTAGCGCCCTGAGTACAACATGGCAGACAATTGCCATGGCAACAGCAGGAGTCTGGTTGGTTGCAAGGCAGCGGCAGGAAGCCAGCTGGTGCCAGATGGATGAACCCAGAAGACAGCGCAGCCGGGTGAAGCTCATGCCCCCTGTACCCAGGGCTCTCCCTCCATATGCCAGCCTCCGCCTGTTCTTTCCCTCCAGAACTAAAGGCTCCACTGCTATCTGTGGGGGATGATGCCAAAACCAATCTTCCTCCTGACTCTTGCGTGTACCATAAAGAATGACCATTTAGAGACAAAAGCCCCCTCCTGTGTGAAGTCTCCCTGGACCCTGGGCTGAGGGATCTAAATAAGTCTGAACTTAGCTCACTCCTGAGCTATACTGAGGTGCCATAAGATCAGCGACATGAGAGGCCCCTGAGCGACAGGCTCGGAGTACCATGTTGCACATACGCAGTGGCGGCCACAATGTCTGGCTCGTTTTCTCTCTGGAGAACTAAGAGGCGGGCTGCAGGGAGAGAGCAGAGTGGGTTAGGCCAGTGGAGGAAACTGAGTTTCACTTCCCCTTTCCTCCCTTCTGGGATTGCTGGGCAGTATTTACACAGGGCCAGTGAGAAGTTCTTCCTGAGGATGAAAGAAGCTGTGGCCAAGGAGTCTACCACCTCGTTGTTAAAAAAGTGCCTCCCAAACCAGTCTCAGCAAGATGCTAAAAGGCTTGAGCAGCCCACGGGGCCCAACAATGCTCCTCAGACAGCCTTCATCATGAGCCACACCGAGTCCCTTCGCTCTCCTCCCCAGCCGCCGCCGCCCTCATTCCTAAACCCTGGAAGTCTTCCCCGATGGCCTTCTCGCCCCTGTTGGGGCCCCCTTTGTGTCCCTTAGCATTTAAAATTAACACTGGACATCTGCACACAACTTGACAAAACACTCTCATTTACTCCCGCCCATTTGGCCCTAAAGGGAACCATGGGAGGAAATTAGTAATATCAGGCGATATGTCTAAGGTCACCCAATCGTAAGGGAGGAAAGCCAGAATTTGTACCCTGGCCAGTCTGTCTGATTTGACTCAAAAAGCAAAACCCCCTCGCCCTGGCTGGGCGGGTCAGCTGGTTGGTGCGTCACCCCCATACACCAAAGAGGTTGCTGGTTCTTCCCCGGTCACGGGAGTCAACCAATTCATGTTTCACATCTATGTTTCTCTTTCTTTCTTTCCCCCGTCTTCTCTAAAATCAATAAAACATATCCTCGGATGAGGATTAAAAAGAAAAACAAACAACCTCCTTGTTTTTGTTATCCTTCCTTTGGACAGAGACCCTCTGTCAAACCTGTGAGCGACCTGCAAGCTGAGATTGTGTCTGCTGTCATTCTACTGATTCCAGGGCCACCAACACAAACATTTATTAGGTAGGCAGAGACAAATGTATTTGAAAAAATAAATAAATTTAAAAAAACAAAATACATTTATTAGAAGGGACAGTGCATACAAGGAGTTGGAGGTAGGGGAGAAGGCCTTTTTATCCACACTTCAGACTAGCAGTCAGTGACATAGGCCAGACAGCGGAACAGCCTCTTTGTCGGGGACGAGATTGAGTGTGGAAACCAAGGGGGCCTGCGGACTCCTTTTTAGCTCTGGTTACTCTTGTCTTTCCGCCCTCCCAACACAGCCCTCTCAGGAGGGAGAAGCCCGCACAGGAGATGACGGGGGACTGACACAGTCCCTACGCCTTCGGTGAGAGACTCCGGGTGCAGACGGCCTCGGAAGCAGGGAGGGGACAAGCGGGCTGGGGAAGGGAGGCTGAGAAGGCCGGCGGACTTGGAGTTACAGCTGGGAAGAAATGAGAAGGTGGCCGGCAGAGCCTTCGTGCTTGGGGACCTGTAGGTTCTAACTGGACCACGAAAAGGAGCCTGTCCTGGGAACGGCTCCACCATGCCTGTGAGACCCCGGCTGGGTCGTGGCTTTTTTTTCCTTCCTGGACCTGGTTAAAGCTTGAAGCCAACCTTCAGGCCTTCCCTCCTCCAGTCCCCTCAACGGGCCCCCTGGGAGCTAAGCCCCCTCACCTGACAGGGCCACTGCCATGGCCACTCACAGAGAGGTCTTTGTGCAGAGGCTGGGCCTGGGGGAGGGGGCGTAGCCAGCACCTCCTACTTACATTCCACCCCAGTGCCCAGCAACGTGGCCAATCATCCTCTCCTCAGCTGTCTCTCCAACTTCTCACCCCTTTTTCTAGAAGAATCCCCCTAGAGCCTTGGGCCATCCCTGGATACCCTGGCCCACATCTGTCACTTCCTCTTCCAGAGGTTTTCAGGACTGAACCTACTTCTCTGTTCTTTACTCCAGTCCCCAGCGGCCCATCTCCTGTCCCGACCTCAAGGCGTTCATTGTGTTGGCGACCAATCTTGGCTTCTCCACATCCCCCCTCAAAGAGCACCTGCAAGGCCACTGTGTGCGCATGTCCGTGCATGTGTATGTGTGTATGCGTGAGGGGGCATTCTGGTCGGGGAGATGCAGAAGCTTCTCCCCAAGTAGTTGCCAGGCTTTTTGTATGTTTCGTCATTGATTCGGCACTAGCTGAGAGCCAGTGAAGTATCTGGTTGGGCGTTGGGCTCAGTGGGCAGCTAGTTAGGGCCGTCCTTGTTCCTCCCGGGAGTGGTTTGTGCTGCCCTCCCACCACACCCTGCACCCAGCATCTCTGAGTATGTCAACTGTTTCCCAGTAGACCCACTGATTCCAGCCCCCTGGTGGAGCACGTAGGCTCTGATAACCAAACTCCCGCCGCCACTTCCTACCTCGTGCTCGCCCAGGCTCCCTTTGCTGGACACGCTAGCTCCTTGCCTTCAAGTATGCTATCTGCTCTCCACTACCCATGTCCTAAAACTCCTTAGACTGGCAATCCTCTGCTTACCTCTTGTTCCCTTTAGCTTTTATCATTTATCCTTTAAAAGGCCCCCTCCAGGAAGGCTTCAGGAATGAGGACAAAGTGATAAAACTGAATGAAAGGGAGAAGAAAGAGGGAGGGAAAAAAGCTCATAGCTGCACCTTGGGGAACATTTTTGGCCGGAGAACTGGTTGACCCAGAGGACTGGATGGATAGGACATAAAGAATAATCAGGGATATAAGAGAACTAAAGGCCAAAGGAGAACACAGACTGGATATCAGTGTGAAACGCTCCACAGAGGTCACCAGGCCAGAGCGAGGGCCGTGGGGTCCAGCTGAGGGGGCTGTGAGTGGCCCAAGAGGGAGCAGTTTCACCAGAGTCAGGAAGGCAGAAGCCAGGCTGCCGGGCTGAGGGGGGAAGACTTGGCGCTTCACTCCAAGGACACAGCAGCTCTTCACAGGCCCCAGAGGACCCTCAAAGTGGCAGGAGGTCTGTGTGTCCACACCTTACTCTCTCCTCCTGCCGATACTTCCAGCTTTGAGTCCTCCAGTATTTTTTTCCACCACCCACAGCCCTCCCAGTCCTCTGACCACCGGTGGTCCGGAACCACACCCGGTGCCAAAGGTCTTTCCAGCACCCCTGCCCCTTCCCGAGTGAGGTCCGCAACCTCCTCGCCGGTGCCAGTCCCCACCTCTCCCTCCTTTCTTCACTCCCTCTCCTCTCTCCCCAGTCCCACTCATGGCAAGACTCAGCAATGTTCCCCATCAACCGGAGTGTCCTTCCTGCCACCTCACCTCCCCCCCCCTCCGTGTGCACCGGCCGCGGGGCGCTCAGCGCGCACTTGCCCGCGGGGCACCTGCCCGCGCCGGCCCCTAAGATGGCGGCCGCCCCCGCAGCCGCGCCTCCTGCCCCGGCCCAACAAGGTGGGGGGCCAAGCTGGAGAGGCAAGGCCAGGGGAAGCAAGACAAAAAGGGACAGAAAAGCCGGCGCCTTGGCATCTCTCTTTGGCATTCGAGTCCAGCTTACGGAGGGAGGGCAGAAGGGAAGAAAGAAAGTAGTGTGAGTTTTTATTTCTGCCCTCTTCCTGCCACCTCCCCCCACTACACACACACTTTGATGAAAACAAAATCTCTCCCCTTTTCTCTCTTTTCCACCTCCCTCCCCCTTTTTCCTGGCTCCTACCACCAGCCTCCTGGAATGCAAATGAGTTGTATTATGCAAATCTATGCAAATCAGGCTTAACGAGCGGAAGGAGGAGGCAGAATGCCTAATGAGTAATGGCGCAGGGGTGCAGATGGAGGGTGGCAGGAATGACCCTATCTTCTTCGTTCCCACAGCCTGGAGGTAGGAGTATCACTTCTAAGCACAGGTCAAGGCCCCATCGCTTCGTCTGAGAAGGCTCAGGACGGCGTTGGCTATAGGTAAAGGACGGAGAGAGCTTGGGAGGAGAGAGAGTTAAGTACAAGGGACTTGTGTTCACTGGCACAGCCTTGCCCAGAGACTCTGGATGCACCCGCTTCCCAACCTTCAGCTCCGGGTGCTGAAAAGAGGGTGATGCTTCTGCACACGATGGCTTCTGCATCAGAAAGAGGATTCCCAAGGGAAGGTTCCCAACCAGACCCAGGTTCTTCCTGGGAGTGCAGAGGGTGAAAGCTGTCTCTCTGTGT